GGCGGGCGACGGGCCGGGAGGCAGAATGCGTCCCCTGGCGCCGTACAGCCCTGAACTGGCGAATGCGACGGACCCGGCGCGATGCGCTTCCTTCCATCCAAAAAGAAGGGTCCTCGCTTCGTCGTACCGTTTGGCTTCAGTCGGGAGTAGAACTTGTCGTGAAACACACATGTGTGTGCAGGGACACGTTCGGCGATCGACGCAACCGCCGCAGAATCTGCGGCTCCGCGTCGACGCCCCCCCGACTTTCAGCTCCCGCCCTCTCCACCCTTGGGGGGGGCGACCTGGCGGTCGGATATCTGGCTATTTTGGACGTATGGGTCGTCGCTCGCTGGCGGGCGACGGGCCGGGAAGCAGAATGCGTCCCCGGCGCCGTACAGCCCTGAACTGGCGAATGCGACGGACCCGGCGCGATGCGCTTCCTTCCATCCAAAAAGAAGGGTCCTCGCTTCGTCGTACCGTTTGGCTTCAGTCGGGAGTAGAACTTGTCGCTCCTTCATTTTCAGGGACTGGTCACGTTGTATGCCTTTTCATGAACTCTGATGCTGTTCCAAAAACCAAGGCAGCGTAGGCAGGCCATTTGCCTTTGTTTCCCTTGCAGCACATGGTTTGAAGGAAATTCCACCCTGCTTCACGCAGGCTTTAGATGCATCCTCCTCAGGGAATTTTGGCAGTTTGCTCCCATGGTCCCGCGTGTGATGATGGTGAGCTTCTTTTGAGGTTCCGACCCTCGTAATCGAGCATGACTCTGGCAATTGTGGGGGGCACAAGGCGCGGAAGTATTGTGCCGTATATAGTTCAAACGACCGTCATCTTCTGTACCGTCATCCGTTTTCCAGCCCTCTCTGATAATGCTCACGTGAGAGGGGCTTGTAATTAAGTCTTTCCGATCAGTGAAGCATGGTCTTTACGGCTGTGAAAGGCCAACCACAGATGCAGTGGTTCCACTTCAGAGAAGGAGGTTCGCTGCTCGATGTGAGTGCATGCGGCTAGAGGAGATATCAAAGGTAAACTGGGGGCGTTCAAGTGCTTTGTACTGATGCCGCTCCGCTTTGCTCAGAGTGACATGACCTCCAGCAGGCCCTTGCACACCTACACCTGGCCAGCCTGCCTCCAAGACACGGCCGTCATATGATATTCTGCTTGCTGTCCTGTCGCACCGGGTGCAGTGCCGCCAAGGACTCGCGGAGAACCACGAGAAAGTCATGACAAGCCTGAAACATTGCCTGTCAGCCGCCGCCTTGGGTTTGGGGAACTGATGATGAAAAACTCATCGGAGTCAATTTCGAGCCGAATCCTAAGATGTTCTTTGCTTGGATGAACTTTGTGTGGTGCACGGCCAGATGCAGCCAGGTTGTCATGAAGGCCCCTCGAAAAGCCTGACGGATCCTTGGTGTCTCCTGTTACGAATCAACCACGGGCACCTTCAAAAGGTGGCTGTGGTGTGCAAGCTTCGTTTGTGAAACCGTAGCTACGGCTTCTTGCAAAGCAAAATGACTTCATCAACTGGCTGAAGTTCAGCAACAGCACTGTGGCGGTGTTTGCCTCTCATCAGGAGCTGAGCTGGCAATTCACACGTCGGAGGTCTGTACTGTGTTGTTACCGATGATGGATCGTGGCATGGCATTGGGCATGTGCATCGAGGCTTCACGGCTTAGTGAATGCCAGCTTCTTTTCTATGTTTGGGCACTTGAAGCAGCTGACAACCAACCTGAAAGTGCCAAGTGCTTCAGCACGTGTTCAGCGTCAGTTCCTACTCCTAGCTCTTGATAGCAACTTGTACACTGGACAGGACGATTTTCGATTTCAGCAGGTTTGGAATAAGCATACTGCGGTTTCGCCACTGTATGGTACGGCTCGATCTTCCATCTCGTAGTGTGGGGCAGAAGATTGCATTAGGCGTTTCTAAAGCGCTACATGCAAGCATCAAGTGCATCAGTTTGCGTATGAGGACGAGTCGGGATAGGCTTTCGAATTTCGAATAGATTGACTTGAGCACGCAGCTACAATCTCAAACTAGTGCATAGGCGTTCCGAGCGATCCTGCTGCACAGCAGCACCGAAAGCTCTTTGATTTTGGCGTGTTCGTTGCCAAATCAGATCACAACCCCCCGGGGCCTGAGAGCATGGACTCGAAGATGACAGATCGACAGTAAATTTGGCAGGGCCAGAAAGGCGAGGAAGGTTCACGAGCTTCTTTGTGCTGGATCTGGTTTGGTCCGAGATCTTCCGGCCAATTTGACAGCAACCAGATAGGTTCCGACGGAGGTATATTACGCTTTTTGCTTCCTGTTTCGTTTGAAATCTGGTTGCGTAGCGCACCTGAAAGTGCAATGAAATTTCAGGCAATTCTATGCAGACTTCTCCAGGCTCCGGTTCAATTGCCGAACAGGAGCCGGAAGGCATTGAATATTGGGATTACAGGCGTAACTTCCACTGCCTGCGGCAGCAACACACTTCAGTGTGAGGCAATGCGGGCATCTTCCCAGTGGATGTTTTGCCATTCCGGGAATTGTGCAAGTAGTGTCACCTAAATGAGCGAGGGTGGAAAATATCTTCTTCAGACTCATGTCGGATGCATATCGACCACCCTCATCTTGAGGCTAGCAGGAATGGACTCGTAGTGAACTGTAAAGCGCTTAACACCTTCTGCTGCTTCATCCTCAAGTCGGTGAGCAATTTGCATCCTCAGCTTCGGCACAGCACGGTCGAGCGGGTAAGGTGCTGCAAGGTTCTCCATATCAGTTTTCTCTGGTTGGGCACGCAGTTCCTGGCAAACTACAACCCACAAAAGGCCTTGCGATCAAAACCGCTTTTCAAAAGTTCGTGTTTACCGTTTAGTTCTTCAGTACTTGTAAGCTTGCTTTATGCTGCATGCCCCTGCAGCAGATCTTTGTCGTCACACGCTGTAGAGCAAGTGGTAAGCAATCGGTGTAGGGTAAAGCACAGTCTCGAAGTGTGCTTCTTCATGGCTGGGTCACGTGAAGCTCCTTGCGAGGCTTCCCAAAGCACTACAGTGCACATGATTGCTTGCACTGTCAACCTGCATGGGCTCAGCGTTTCCTTGTAAGTTGGTGGAAGGATGTCGCAGACGCATCAGATGCGGAAACAGAGGGGAGCGATTTCGATGAGGACTCCGTCTTCGCTGCAACTTCGGGCACTGCTTTCACACGATAAGGTTTCGGTGCAATGAAGTATCTCCTGTTGCAGGGTTTCACAGTAGGATGGGAGGCCCTAGTGAGCATCTTCGCTTGTGGTCGTGTCCCGTGGCCCACTGTTACCCGGCCGGGGTGCTTCGGCATGCGGCTTGCGATGACCACAGGTCCCTGCTGGTCGTCCATCCATCTATGTGTCCATCATCAGTGTCGTTATCGTCCATCCAACTACCATGACAATCCCTAGTTCGCAAATCAGGCTTCACTCACTGGCTGGCATTTTTTGTCTCTAGCATGCACCCGCTTTTTCCATTCCCAGAATCGTCGAGCAAGAATTTTCAGTGCATTGTATTGCTGCGCAGCACCGTTTCGCAAAAGTCAGTGCGACGCGTCAGCGCAGTACGGAGCGACATGCGTTCGAAGTTGCGTGTGCCGGGATTTAGCCACGTGTGACACTTGTCTGCATGACCACGAGGGGGTCTTGCTTGCCTATGGCATCGAGAGCCGGCGCTGGGAATAAGCAAACTCCCCCCGGTAAGACGAAAACATGACAAGCAAGGGTCTGCGCAAGCTCCAGTTTGGAGCCCCGTGCCTGGCTGCCAGGCTTGATTGAGTTGAGGCTAGTTCTCGTTTGAAAGGCGGTGTGCACGAAGTAAGCTGTAGTGCGCTTTCCTAAACAGTCTTCCGTAGCCATCTGCAGGAGGTTTGGGATGACTACTGGTCCAAACCAGCCATGCCCCAAGAGAAGCGCTTCACATCACTGCCTCTTTGGATTTGCACTATGGTCCTCGCATTAACATGTTCCTTCAGGCAGGTCCAGCGCGGACCGACAGGAATATTGCTGGAACCAGCACTGCTGCAAAGCAGGCGCACTTGTCAGCCTTAACCTTGTTTGATTTCCAACAGCAGCATGGTAAACTTTGCGAATCTGTCCATGCACCGATTCGGCCTCCAAAATGCATTCAGCTGAAGATAGTTGTAGAGGGCTCGAGCATAACCGGTTGTAGAAAAGACTAGAAAAGATCTGCCACTGCCTGGAAGACCTACCGGCTCAAAGTCAAACGGCCTGGCGGTATGAGCTGCGGCGGCCACTGAATCCGACATGCGCAGGCAATGTCTTGCTTTGCCACGAGTCGGCGACGGATGCAGTGCTTGCGACCATGAGAAGCAACTCAAAGACTTGTCTTCTCTTCTGCTGCTAGCTGTAGTACGATGGGGAGCGTACCTGCTGCAGTGGTTCTGGACATATGCTTGGCATCTGCCCCTTCAAACGATGCGACTGACTGGCTTCTTTGCCCGGCTTGTTCTGTATGTTATATTCCTTTTTCCTGGCATGATGTTTGGACTTATGTATTGGGCCTTTGCTGGCGAGAACATTATCAGTGTGAGCTACAAGGCAGGATCTGCATGGATCTCCTGTAATAGGGCCTGTTGTACAGATTGTTCGCGAACTGCTGTGAGTCTGAGCGTCGCAGCTTGCTTTGCCAAACTTGCTATGCTTGCGCGTGTGTTCAAAATTGCGAGGAGAAGGGAGGGCGCCGGCACACCTGCGACATCTACCTTCCACGCGCAAGGGCTCCAAGCCCTGGACCAAAGAAAGCACCGGCCACCCGCCTGGAAGTGGGCCTTGTGACAGTAAGGCAATATCAATAAGCGGCCTGGTGCCTTTTGGCTTGCCTGGGGCAGCTCTCCAAGCCTTCGACTTTGCATTAGACGCATCAAGAACCATCGTAGATTCACAGACACAAACTCTTGCAGCTGTCTGCAGAGCACGCAGAGCCCCCCTCACATTGATTACTTACTACCAGATACATCCTTGTACATCCGTTCAAGGTAGGCTGTACCGTGGGTCATGACAGCACCTCGCCACAATGCAGGCAAGCCAGTCTAGTAGGGCGTCGCTGAGGTGGTAGTCCTCGTCCCGGGTGGTGCGTTCCTTCTGGGCCATAAAGGCTACGTGACCATGCTCTGCAGGGCATTACGAAGTGTTGGATTTCTTTGCATCGCGGTCGATTACCGCTACTGGCCGCAAACAACAATTGATGGAATGGTGGAAGACGTTAATGAGGCTGTTGCATGGTCTTTTCAGCACTGTGAAGCATATGGTGGCGATCGGAGACAGTTAGCGCAGCTTGGACTGTCTTCAGCACAGTGTGTGACCAGTGTTCGCCTCGCATGGACACCTCTCTCTCTCTCTCTCTCTCTCTCTCTCTTTCTCTTTGTCCGAGGATTTTGGGGTTGTCGTCCGGCGCACACGTTGCTGCGTTGCTCCTTACGCGACGTGCAGCACAAGAGAAGAGGTCATCATCACCAGGCGATGGGGACTGCAGTCTAAGACCGGCTAGGCCACCTAGGTTCCAGGGATTCTAGGGCGCCAGGCGAGAGCTTCCAGAACACCCTGGCGAAGACCGAAAAAATCTCCAGAAATCTCCTGCATCATAGGCCCCAGCCACAATCATAACCAGGCTTGCTGTCTTGGTCCACTTCAGACGTGCTTGGCTTCATTGGCCTTGGTGGCATCTACCACTTTCATGGCGCCTTCATGTCGCACTTACATGCCAAAGGCATCGACTTTGTGCTACAGCGCCTGGTGCTAGGGGAAAGTGAAGCTGTACGAGAGAACCGATCGCCAACCGTTTTAATCCGTCGTGATAAAGATCTGGCCGGCCGCATGCCTCCGCTTCTCTTGGCACACGGCACCAGCGACAAAATTGTTCCACAGGAACAGTCCGAGACATTCCAGAGTGTTTTGTCTGCTGCTGGCGCGGATGTGCAACTGATCTTCAGTGAAGGTGAAGGACACAACGACCCTGTAATCCACAGCCCGCTGATGAGCAATCACAACACGGTTCAGGCGATTCTCTTGGCAATGAAACGTTGGAGCTCGAAAGCGAAAGACGAAACGGATCCCCAAGAGATCTTCCAAGCCTTGCCCACGTGGCCTCGGACTCCGCTGTCGGCCCCAGCCTCGGACCGTCGGAGACTGCGGTTCTTTTCACAAGCAAAATTCATGCGCCAGTAGTGCTTTCTGAGGTCATTCAAGTGGCACGACTCTTGACTCCGTTTTGAGTGATGGTTGCCGAGGTTCTGAGTGCACATCTCTGTGCACAGCTTTGTCGTTTGAACGGAATGTTTAACTGAAAACATCCAGGTTTGCCAGTGCATGCATTCTCATGCTTTTCGTGGAGAAAGCAGCACTCCTGCCTTAAATTGCTCTAGCCTCATAGGAGCCGAATGTTCTCTAGCGTTCCTGATGCGGATTGCCGCATTCTGAATAGTCCGTTTGCACGACTGTGTCGAGTCGAGCTTTCAAGCCGTTGCCTCACTTCCCAGTCGTTGCGAGCAGAAAAGAGCAAACCGAAACGACGCAGCGATCGAGTAGGGGAATGCAGTGCATGTTTGCCATGATTCCTCGCACAGTTTTCGTCTATGCAGGCAGTGCAGAGGCTGCAAGCACGAGTCAATTTTGACCCCCTGCCACGAGCCGGAAGTATGAGCCGGGCGCACAGTGTCATGTCAAGGTGACTTACCAAGTAGTGTTTCGTGCAGGTCATGCAGCTCAGAATTCTGCCGTTCAAAGCGAGCGAAAGGACAGCGTTTCCAGATAATTAGATGCTCATCACGAAATCTAGCTGCTCATTAAGCTCTTCAAGAGCACGTTGGAACCGTCTTTTATAACCATGGAGCCAGCACGTTTGGGGCCTCAGGACTGCTAAGTCAACAACAATTCATAGACTAATGGCGTCTGCCGGGGGCCCCCCGTAACATGGACACTGGATGTAGTGTTCGATTGATACACGCCTGCACACACTTGTTAATGTTGCAAGCAGGCCGCGGCCTTCCGAAATCTCGGACTGACGCAAGACTCCAGAGTGCAGCGCCCAGAGAGGAGAAGAGCTCTTGCGACGAGCTCTGCAATTGGACGCTACAAAAAACGCAGGCGACCGTGGAGCAAGTCCTGGACTCCAGAACGATGCATGTTCTCAGCAAGTTCCTAAAGCGTGGTCTTTTCGCCGGGCGACTAAGCACAGGGTTCGTCAATGCTGGCTGCCACTGCCAGTGTGCAAAGCAAGCTGAATCCAAGGATGAGATTCATGGCTGCATCAGTACTGGAAAGGAGGCAAATGCAACTGGCTCAGATTTTCGATGGCATCCCGAAAGTCTTCAGGAACGTTTGTTGCAAGGTCTACTATGCTACATCTGGTGATGGCATCGAGCGAGCGGTCAAGGCTCAGAGCACGAGCAAGACAACTGTGCAGAAGCAGTGCGCTGCTGTGTCTGGAAGGTCTACAAGACGTCCATTCTTGTCTTCAAGGATAGGGCTCGCTACGTGGAAGGGGAGTTCCGCTTCCGGCAGGTGCTCCAGAAGTCGTGGGACGTGCCCAGAACGGCCCCGTCTTGCTGCCAGGGCTACTGCAAGGGCAACCCAAGAAAGATGGTCGCTCAATGGGCGGAAAAGGCAGACGCGTGCTGCATGCACTTTAAGCTTTTGCAGAAGCGGCTTGCTTGCAGAAGCCTGCCCAACAGCCGAATGAACCACAAAAGTAGCAACTGTACCAACAGCCAAATCCTTCACAACCTTGCCGTCAAGCATTTGGTCTGAGCTTTCCAAAGTTCTAAGAGCTAGGGTCTCGATTGTAATGTGTAAAGGTTGAAAAGTTTACAGCCACAGAAAAGAGGCTTCTGCGCGACACGGCCCTTGAGCGGAAGCCCTCGGGAGCAAACATACAAAAAAAGGGCAAGGAAGCGTCTGCGGAAGCACTGGCCACCGCAATACCGAAAACGCTTGCCACAGCTTTGCGTGGAAGCATGCACATGCTTCGCTTATTCTTGCATTGCTAAAAACTCGTTCTATCGTGCATTGCGTCGGGTTTTGTGACAAATGAGGGCGGAGCGGCTCTCTCTTTGTTGCAGGAGCTTCAGCTTGTTTTGCTATGGACCTGCTCTGGCAGGAAATGCGAAATCTGCGCCGGCTTGCAGCCGTCGGGATTCCCTGCCCAGAGGCTGAAACCGTGTTTTGCTTTTTGAAGCTGCACCTTTCAAGGAGTTTGCCGGTCTTCCCTGTGTATATGGGCTGCGTGTGAAACACAGAACAAGCATTGCCCAAGTGCCATCTTTTGCCACGGATTGCATCATACACTCGAGTGTCTGCCATCGGGCACGTCCTCCTCGGTGTTCTTGTCGTGCAACGCCTGTAAAGGTGGTTGATGTCCGCCAAAATGTCTTGGTGATGGAGTTCCTCGGCCACGATGGGAATGCTGCTCCACGACTGAAGGAGCCGAGCACGCCCAGCGTGCTTGATTGAAGGCAAACAGTGGTGTCTTGGTGCTGTCAGGACGCTGAGGGGCTTGATGCCTCGGCCTGGGATCAGCTTTACATCGACTGCGCCGTGCTCATGAGGGGAATGTAGTGCCGTCCTGTTTGCTACATTGCTGCTACATTGCTACCGCAGACTATCTGTATGACTTCGCCTGTCGATGTTTTAGCAGCTGCAGATTTGGAGGATGCAGCGCTGCAAGCTGGTGCATGGTGACCTCTCAGAGTACAACATGCTCGGTACTTACTTGTCGGCAAAGCCAAGAGCCGGGGAAGTGGTTTTCATGTCCAGTGCCAAACATGCAAGTTGCTGCATGGCCGGACTCAGGCTACACAGCGATGGTAAGCTGTACATCATTGACGTGTCCCAGTCCGTGGAGAGCGATCACCCTCAAGCACTGGACTTCCTCAAGAGAGACTGCGTGAACGCCGGCAGCTTTTGCCTGTGCTGTGAGCAGCACGGGGGATTGGATACAACTTGCCCGGCCAAGGTCAACAATTTCTTTGCCAAGCGAACGTCAACAGGAGCTGTCCCAGTAAAGCGCCTTTTCGATTTTGCTTTTGGCTCAGAAGACTTGCTGCGTATTTCTCGATGTAATGGTTCGCCTGATTTTGGGCTCAGGTTGTTACGCGCGAGCTGCCAAGGCTTTAGGGGATGTCGCATTACTGGGATGGTCTAGAACTGACCTTTCAGGCTTGGCTCTGCAGGGAGTTCTGACGACGCTGAAGCTTTCAAGGTCGCTGCACAAGCAGGGGAGTGGCCACGAGCCCACGTCACAACGGCAAGCAAGATGCAGCATACGCAGCAGTCCCATTCGTAAACATGCTAGTCATCTTTCCAAACCGGGCCTCAATTGCTGGACGGCACTGAAGGGCCAGCCCCGGTTTTCCGACGGGGCCCTTCTCTTATGTTCCACATGCCAAGTTTGTTTCCAAAAACGTAATGCTAGGCCAACCAGGTTTCCATCTCGTTTTCCGACTGGACACGTTTCCGCAGTGCCTGTTTGACCTTACGAAAAAAGGCTGCGGAACGAAACGGTTCTTCCTCGTTTTCGGAATCGCGCTTCCCTTCTAGTGATCCAGTTTCCGAGTTTTGGAACCTTTCAAAAGTCGGTCCAGCGGCATGATCTGACTTGCAATGAACATCTTCGAATACCTCGCTGAGAGAATGGCGACCACAGTGTGCACAAGAGAGCAAGGTAAGCGCATGAGTGTTGGCTTTCTGTACGTTTGTTTGTCATAGACATCACCACAGGATCAGCTTGTAGAGGGAGATGGTCTAGATCATCCCTCAGGGTAGGCATTCCGACGATGAGAATCATCTACCTGAGCACATCACACCATGCACGGAAAGTTCGGTCCCTGATGACGACGATGAGGATGAGAAAATCATGACAGCCTTAGGGACGGTGATCAGGAGGAGGAGGAGGAACAAGATCATTCCCCGGGCAACGGTGATGATGATGATGATGATGGTGATGATGATGATGATGATTTTACCACCACTTACCACCACCACCACCACCACCACCGCCGCCCCCACCGCCGCCCCCACCGCCGCCCCCGCCCCCGCCACCGCCACCGCCGCCCCCGCCACCGCCACCGCCACCGCCACCGCCACCGCCACCGCCACCACGACTACGACGACTACGACGACTACTACTACTACTACTACCACTACCACCAGTAGTAGTAGTAGTAGTAGTAGTACTACTACTACTACTGCTACTACTACTACTACTACTACCACCACCACCACCACGACGACGACGACTACTACTACTACCACCTCTACCTACTACTACCCCTACCCCTACCCCTGTGCACCCCTACCCCTACCCCTACTGCTGCTGCCAATACTACTACGACGACTACTACTACTACCACCCCGACCACGGATACTCGACAGGGGGGCAGCTTCCGGCTCAGCAACCCAACAGTTTCAGAAAAAGTTGAAGGCATCTTTCGAAGACCCTTGCAGGTCCGCCGGATATGGGATTGCGGCGAGGGGCTTCGTACCACTAGAGATGTATGCAAGGGAGCTTCAGGCTTGAGGTTCATTTAAACTTGTTTCCAAGCTTGCAGCATGTGCCCCGTCACAGCCCAGTCGCTCCTCGAAATATTATGGTTGTTATTGTTATTGCAATTTGTAACGTTAGTATTGTGATCATCATCATCATCATTTTTAATCTGCCTGGACTTCTAATACAGCAGGAGTTCTCCCTCACGGACGAGCCACAAGACTGATGCTCACACGGAGCGCGACGCAGCTCCCGAGTCTCACACCAGGTGCCCAAAGATCTGGACACTTACGCAGTTCATGTGCAGAACTCACAGAACTTCTAACAGTTTGACTTTGGAAGTTTTCTGAGGCTTGGGAATTCATGGGTCATACGTCGGTCCTACTACAGGCTCACAGAGGTTCCACACATGGGCGGATCCGAACCACAGGACATTCGCAACCCTTTTGCACACGGTTGCAGCTTGACTGCTGTCCTTCGGGCTCCCTATTTTATAGCGATGTTATAATACACCCGCTTAGAAACAACGTACCCCGAAGACCTACTCCAATTATTGAGGCCCTTCTACTAGGAAGCTTCCGTGGCAGCTCTGGGGGCACTCATGAATTCCATGGGACCCGGAGCTGCAGAGTAAGATCTCAACAGGAGGTTCCGGTTGCTCCAAGAGCCGTAGAGTTTAGGACATAAAGTCTATATATATATGTGTATATATATATGTATATGTATATGTATATATGTATATTATACACACAAACACACGCACGCACGGAATGTTTACAGTATTTTTTACGCTATGTGTATAATGAGAAATACGGGAAATTTGAGACCTTAACAGCGTTAAGAACCTCCAGTTCGGGTTGGAAATCCCCAACCGTCTCACATCCTACTTGACCAGGTAGTTGCATGCTGCAGCGGATCGAGTTCAGCGGGCTCGAAAGTTCAAGCGTGAGAACCCACTACTGAAACCGAAGCGACCTGAAATCCGAAGCCCTGAAGTCTCAAGCCGCAGCCCGGCCTCAGTGCTTATTATTATGATTATTTTATTTATTATTTTTTTTTTGGGGGGGTTCTGCTAAAAAAACTTCACGGTTCGACAATCACCGGCAGAGCTTCAGGGCTTAGGGCTGTCGGGCTCCCAAGCGATGAGGCGCCTCGACCCTGCATGGTCGTGGGCGGCGCAATGTGCCGAAGCAGACAACCCCCCCAAGATCTTAGGTTTTTTTCTTAGGGTTTTCGTCATTCTGTATTCACACTGTATTTCCACTACTAAGCACAAAGATTTTGGATGGTTCTGTCGATCCTGACTTCGAGCTCGTCTGACGGTGCGACCGGTGCGAGCTGTTTTGAGCTTGGCCTTCCTGCAAAACTCGAAGCTAGGCAAGCCTGAGGCTGTTCGGAAGCATGAAATTCTGTGTACAAGCCCAGAAACACAGCAGGCCCCCTATAAGACCCTGCAGATCTTGAGCTGCGACGCACCAAAACCTTGAAAGCTGTGCGACCCCAGATTCCGAATCCCCAGCCCCGAATCCCAGTTACGCAGCATGCCTGTTCGGACGTGGCCGCAGCTTTCAGGGCCTCATGCGGCCGGAGTGGCGAGAACTGGCATCCTACTTGTGTGGATTGTAGGTTACAGGGTTTAGAGGTTTACCTAGGGTTTAGGGTTACAGGGGTACAGGATGTAGAGCGAAGTCAGTCACGGACCACAGAACCCCAAGAAGAAGCTTTTTCCGGCGAGCCCTTCACTTCGAAGCCTGAAGGCAGCCGGCCTCGAACCCGAAAGCCTTGCGGCCCCCGATTGAGCCCGAGAAAGACGCCTTGAACCCGAAATCCTCCAACCTTGAACCCGAAACCCCCTAGACATCGAGAGCCCATACCCTCAACCCCCATACCCCCAAACCCCCATACCCCTAAACCGCCTAACTATAAGGCCCCCTGCAGCCTCCAAGCCTGGCTGAGCCTGTTCCCTTTCCGGACCTCGGAGCTTTCGGGGCCATGGTGGATGTCAGCCGTCCGGTGTGCCTGGCAGACTTCCAGAGGCTTCTCCGGGCTCGGGGAACAGCTCGGGCAGTTGCGGCTTGGGGCTATCTTCGTCTTGGGTTTCAAAGGAACGATGTCGGGTAGGGAAGCATGATATTGGCGCGTCGTTTCGAGCCCATGCACACATAGCTGCATGATGCTAGTTTTTGAGCCACATGTGGTGTCTACATAGAGCCTACGTGATAACCTCGGCATGTAGACAGACTTATACGTGTCCACATATGCACGCGCGCCCACAAACACAAGCCGATATGCATAACTTTAGAGTAGAACTACATAATTACAATGTATATACTGCAATGCAATGTAAGGCCAAGTGACATAGCGAACATGGTGCTATGCAGCTGAACCACTTTCATGCGATGTCATGCGGCATTGCCTACCGTACCTAATGTTGCGTATGGTCATGCGGTGCTGTGACCTAGGCGCTGGCCTGCTTGGTTCGGGCAGGAACAACAAGCAAGGGATGTCTGCTTGTACGTGTGCATATGGACGTCTCTCTCTCTCTCTCTCTCTTTCTCTCCTCTGCTTCTCTTATCTGCTTGTTCCTGGTTTCCTGGCCTAAACACTTGATTGCCAGAAGCAGTTTTTTGCCCAAAAAACGGTGGAGGTTGCACTGTAGTGTATTAGGCGTCCAGTCAGACCCGACAACCCACATTCCACATGATCGACAGGTGGAACCGTGTCTGCCACACACGCAAGATCCAGGCCATCGGCGATCCTTGCTGAGCTAACCCCGCTTCTATGTCCTTGGGAACCACCTTACATTTTGCCAGCGGTGCTGGAGATTCATTTGGGATCAGTCTTATGTTTCTAGATGCCAGATGCCGGTCTGCTCGGTGCCCTGAATTTTCGGAAGCTCAGATCTTCGAAGCCATGCCTGCCTTGTGCGAGTGCGTGAGTCGAAATATTCGCAAGGCGGCCTGTGGTTTTCGCAACACCTCTTTTCACGTCGATTTGCGCCGATAGGTAGCGGAGTCTTTTTTGCTGAAGGGGCTCCGAAATTGTAAGGTTCCTGATCTCGGTGGGTGTATGCCTTCTATGCATCTTGGCCTCACGACCGGCAGTACACGAGAGCCCGGAACACCCAAGCACGCTGAACCCCAGGTATCCAGAGTTGTAGCAAAAAACGGTTATTACCGAGCCCAGAGCTGAGCTGCAGATGCCCTACACCTTGAGGCTCAACGTGCCCTGCCGGATTTTTGCAGTTCCAAACCCAGTGAAGATGGAATAAACACACTTGGCCATTCCACTCTAGATCGTTGGGGATACAAAGACAAGTCTTTGCCAGACTTTCCTGCTGAAGCATCCTTTTTTGACCCTCGCCTTAGTGGTTGCAGGCCAGATATCATGAGATGGTCGAGGAGGCAGAGAGCAAAAAGGCCACGAGCTCAGCTCCTGAAGGTTCGCCTCGGACGGGTTGCATCTTTTGGACATGCGGCAGCAAGCTGCGAGTCTCTGTTGTTACGAGAAGTTTCCCTAGCCCTGGTGGTTCTTAAGCCGATGCTTGACTTGATGTTGTTGTGATTTGTCATTGTCCCTTGTATTCTGCAGCGCGACGACAACGAGGGCTGCGAAGACCGACAATGTTTGCTTCTCATCCTCCCCCACTGCTAATGCTACTGCTGCTGCCACCACTACTACTACTACTACTACTACTACTACTGCTAGTACTAGAACTACTAGTACTACTACTGCTACTAGTACTACTACTGCTGCTGCTGCTACTACTACTACTACTACTACTACTACTAGTACTAGTA